GCAGGAGGATTCTGATCCAGTTTGACCACAGTCGCCAGTCGGAATGGTAAGAACAGTTAAAAACATTAGAGGAAGTGTTTTTGTTGCTTTGCACAGCTTGGAAGGTGGATTCATGGAAGCTGTGGTAAACAAGGTTTCAGTGAACAAACCAGTTATTTGGGATATTTTTGAAATTATTTTTATGCGCCCTGTTTTGTCCGGGGCGGGTCATAAAAGGTTTTAAAATGTACTTAATTAAATTTGACAAGAAGGCAATTAAAAAGGATTGACAAGGTTTTTATTTTTTAATTAATGCCAACTCTGCTCGGTGGGGACACTTTGGAACAAGGACATGTTTTATACACTGCAAAAATGATCTAAAAATGAGCAAAAATGTCTCAAATTAAGTGTATTTTGCCTTAATTCGAGCAGGTAAATAAGATAATTTGCCAATGGAATGAGCATTTTTACTCTTAAAATAAGTGTAAAATTAAATAACTAGATATTATGCTCTTGAAATAAGAGACTGCAGTTTTTCTTTTCTTATTTTAAATGTAAATTGCCTTATTCCCTGGGAAAGAGTCCCACTTACCTGGTTAATTCAGGAAAAAATGGGCTTATTTTAAGAAAAATTGACTCACTTAGATATAATTTTTTTGCAGTGTACCAAAATGTTTTCTATCGAATATTCCCCATTATAGCTCGTAAAATGGAGCGAGACATGGGGAGGAAAGGAGAAGTAGAGAAGGGGTAAAAAAGAGGACAGAAAGTTTCTCCAGGTTTTCTCCAAAGTTCATTTAATGATGTTGTAGAGCAGGTAAAACCGGGTTCAAACGGCAGCACCGTCTGATCAGCACAACAACGGTTATTCTCACAAACCAAAACTGACTTCTTTAAGGACAAAAACAACCAGACTGAAAAACAGCTTCTTTCCTAGAGCTGTTGTTGCCCTGAACGCCTCATGTACACTATAACAACTGTAACTATCAATAATGACGGTAACAATAAATGCAATATGCTACCTCACATGCAATAACCTGTACCCGCTGCCTAAGGAGAGCCCGCAGTATCCCCCTTTTTTTGTAACTTTTTCGTATTCATTTTCTGATTCTGATTCATAAAATCAAAATTTTAAGTTTTTACAAACAGATAATGTTTAAAGAATAGGGTCTAAAGTAAAAATTAAAAAGGTTTAAAGTTAGTACAGGAATGGATGCCTGTGGCAGATGTAAACTCTCGCCTGCCAATCACTCACACATGTTTTGGTCATGTCCCAAGTTGAATATATGCTGGACAGGGATTTTTAAATCACTGTCTGAAGCCTATGGTTCTCTGGTTGTCTGCAATCTTTGGCATCCCCCCCCTACTTCTAACTTGCCTAAAGGAATGAAGCGGGCTATAGCATTTACCGCGCTTCTAGCTCGTAGGTTGATCTTACTCAACTGGAAAGATTCTCATCCCCCTTCACATGCCCGCTGGATTCAAGAGGTGCTTTACAACCTCAAAGAGAATTAGAGGTTTTCTCTTAGAGGCTCCGTCAAGAAATTTCAGGTTACATGGGACCCTTTTCTTAGATATTTTGACTCTTTGAATCTTCTTGACCCTGAAGATACTTGAATGCCTAA